TGATATAAAGACATGGACTTTGTTGTCTTCTAAATAGTTCTCTGAACTGCAGATAACAGTCAGCTGAAGTGGCCTGCAGTACTACACCCTAATCACTGTGCCACCTCGGCTCTCGTGCTTGCAAAGAGGTCTTCAGCCTCACATTAGGAAAATACAACTTGTTTGTGGAGTCCATGCTACTCTGAGCTTGGTTGTTCACTTGCAGATGTTTCATTACCCAATTACTGTATTTTTCAGAGTATAAGACGCACCAAGGTTTTCAAGAGGCAAATTTTTTAAAAAAGTTTTTGCACTCTGCAAACCTCTCAAAAATGGCCCATTTTTCACAAAAACTGGTCCCCCCCCCAAAAAAAGGCATTAATAGCCTTTAGGGGGCTTGCAGAGCATTCCTGGGGGTGGACCCAAAAATGAGCAAAAAACAGCCCATTTTTCATGAAAACGGGCTTGTTTTTTGTCAAAAAATTGCACGCATAGCCTTTAGGAGGCTTAGAGAGTACTCCGAAGGGGGGGGCAAAATTGAGCAAAAAAACAGCCTGTTTTTCACTCATTTCTGCCTTCCCCAGCCCCCAGGAGCTCTCTGAAAGTCTTCTACAGGCTCTGCGTGGCCATTTTGGTGAAAGGGGCGGGGTTTTGGGAGGCAAAAAATGCTATATTCAGTGTATAAGACACACCCAATTTTTCAGCCTCTTTTTTGAGGGGAAAAGGTGCGTCTTATATTCTGAAAAATATGGTAGGTAACATTACCAATGATGTTACCTAATTAGGTAATGAAACATGTACATGAAAACAACCAAACTCAGAGAGCAACAAGGACTCCATAGCTCAGCCCTGAGCTACAAATATTCTCTTCTGTTATTTTCTTTAATTGTCCTTTTCTTTTTGAATGCTAACTTGTAAAGCAAACTTCTGCAATCCAAGACTCTCTAGAACAGTGGTAGTCAACCTGGTCCCTACCGCCCACTAGTGGGCGTTCTAGCTTCATGGTGGGCGGTAGGGGTTTTGTCCGATATTGAAGCACTATCCTTTTTTAAAATTTAATTGACTTTTTAAAAAAATGTCATAGGATTATTTAAAAACATTTTTATTAGGTTTTCATAAAATCACCATTACTGTGGAACCGGTGGATGGTTAGAAAATTTTTACTACTAACAGAGATACAAAAGTGGGCGGTAGGTATAAAAAGGTTGACTACCCCTGCTCTAGAGGAAATAAAACTCCCAGCCTCCCAAATTAGCTTTTTGCTCATTTTTTTACTTTGCGTGCCTTTTACTTTGCATGCTCTCGCTCTCTCTTCCCAATAGAACGTGAAATGAGACTTTGCCCACCAGATTGGCCCTTGCCTCGCCCAGACGCAATCCATCACATTGTGGAAGATTTCCTGACTGACTGGACTGCACCAAATGCACATGTCCTCCCACTGAGACGTTTCCTGGAGAATTGCCTTGAAACTGACTTGCGCAGATTCTACGCAGGTATTCTGGGAACTAGTTAGGGATGAATCCATAGGGAATGGAAGCAGGCAGATAGGTCAGGTAACCATTAAATTCCTTTCAGCCGAGATCCATATTTACACATAATCCCTCATCAAAGTCTCTTGTTTGTGGAGTCCTTGGAAGGTAATAGTACCAGAAGGTAATAGTACCATTATTTAGCAGATCTAGAGCTGAAAATCAGTACTGGCTTTACTTTGTTTAAACCATCATTCAGACACAATTATTTGGGAACCAAGACATTTGATGTATATCACCTGAAATGAGCACAAGATTTAAAAAGGACAATTTGGACTTACAACTAAAATATTTGTACTGAGAACTGCATATTAAAACTGGATTTAAGAGCTTTGTAGTACTAGACTTCCATGGATTTCCTGGCAAGAGCTTTATTCTCTGGATTAGCATGCTAAAGGCAAAATGGATTTTTTTCAGACGTGTCATAAATACTAGTAAAGATATTTGCATGTCTCTTCTCAGTCAAGGACTCTAGAAAGTCATAGTACCTATTATGGGGAGATTGTGAACTCACAAATCCATCTCCAGAGTTTCAACACTAAATGTGCAAAGACCTTCACGTCTCTTTGCCCAGGGAAGCACATAGATGTTTTTGCTTTGTTTTAACTCTTGGGGAGACAAGAGCACAAACATGTTCAGCTAAATTTTGCCCGTACATTGTCTATTAATTTATCCTAATTGAATAAGCTACATATGTTTGGTTTGATGTAGATCTATTACAATATATGAATACAGCTACTATAGTTTACAGTGAGCATAATCTACCTGCAAGTCAGAGAACTATTTAGAAGACAACAAAGTCCATGTCTTTATATCAGAACAAAAAGTACAATTTATGGGGTGCTTCATGTAGCCCAACAGTATCATTTTTGGGTGTCCCCAGAACCCTCTTAAAAATGAAATTAGCTAGAAAACTGGGTCTTTTTGCATTTAGAGACAATTTGGCAGTTTTAATTGGTTGCTTAAAGCCTTGGAGATGTTTTAAGGTACTGATTGTACCCTTTAAACTTCCTCCCCAAATGGGCCCTTTTGAAGTATGGGCTCAAAATACCATGTAAAATTTGATTCTACTTTCAAAGTATTTAACAAAATTTACCCAGACCCCCTTTGTATGATGAGATTTCAGTGAACATTGAACATATACTTCACAATCTTAAGGATTAGAAACGTGTTACTGATTTTTTAAAGCCGAACTTCTGAATCTTTTGAAAAAATCTGCTAAATAGGCTATAGCAGAAGACTTTTCTCAATCCATTGTTTAATTCTTTTTTCCAGTATGGTGTATAATTATATCTCAGAGTGGGTTAGCCTCTAACAATATTTCCTTATAAAAGAGGCTTAAATGAACTCAAGTTGTTGCTTATTCACATAATGTAGGAATATTTGCTAGAGTTAGGAAATCAATTACAAACTAAGAACCATAGTCTACTTGGAGGGTGAAAATGCTATTAGTGCTTACTGCTATTCTGTTTCAATGCTTGGATATAACAATCTATAAAGCAGGATCACTTTTTCCCTCTGTTTGTACAGAGTCCTGTTTTCTGTTTGCCTTCACACATTTGAGGCTGCCTCCCTTCTGCCAACAAGAGTACATGAAAAAGCAAGGGCTTGTTGGAAGTGAAAAGCTTCAGCATCACAGAGTAGCAGCAGAGCTGATTGAACATGCAAGCATAAAGTCTCAAGATGAACAAGAGAGTGGCACTATGGAATCCCACAACCAACTGCTGAAAAGTACAAAGATATCCAGTCATCAGCTTCAGCATCTTACAAGCACCAAGGATGAACTTTAGCTTCTACCAATTATTTCAAAATTCACAAGCGTTACAACCACAATACCATGGCAAAAGATCTGCAGAAGAGCTCCAGCATCCAGTATTCCTAACCAGTCCTAGATGAGGACCACATCTCATCCATACCATGTTCTTGCACAAATTTGCAGATCTTTATGAACATGAATGTTTACTTTCCTGGATGGGACTGAACAGATGAGACTTTAATGTGGGAAATCTTATGCATTTGAGAAGAGTGATGTCTCTAGGCCATTAAGAATGAATAGCTGAGCCTGGTTACTTTTATACCAGGTTTTCAAGGTGCACTGTTATTATAGTCATTAGTGTATTTGGTAGAACTGGCATTGTTGAATGACAACCTGCTTATTTCAAGAGAGAATGTTCTTGCATGTTAACAAGAGTATCACTTCTGTTTGCACTATGCCCCACTTAGTTTAGTAAAGTTTCCTATTTTATATATTTTTCATATTGTTTAAGGTAAAAATAGGTTAAGAGGTCTGCACTTTTTTGCACCTTTACCTCCAATGTATTGATTACTATGACTTCAATTGAGTTGTGTGTAGCAAACTGGAAATAACTCAAACTCATTTCTTATTTATATCTTCTATCTGTTTGATAGATAGAATGAGTGACATTCATACATTTTCTTCGCTGTCTCAGCAGAGCACATAAGAAATCTTTTTTTCCCCATTATCCCATTATCAAGCTGACACTTTGCTTTGATTCCTGGCACACACTGACTCAATATGATGCCCTCCTTATTCATTAACTACATTTCCCAAAATTCACAGCCAGACACTGTCATGTTTAAAAAATTAGGGAAGAAAAAATCCAGCAAGTCAGAGCTAGCTGGTTGAGGAAGGCTACACTAACTTTACCAAATTAAACAAGAAGGACCAAAGTTTTGGGATAGTTCTGCAATCTGTTGGTTAGATATGAGTGATATGTTTCAATGTGTTTGGAGGTATAAAATTAGAGGATAGATAATACCAGGTTGGATATGCCAGTGGTATTCCTGAACACAAATTATTAGTATTTATACAAGTCCAAAAAGATAATTGGTATCACTTACACTCAGTGGTGGATTGCAGGCGGAACGCCCTAGTACGGGCGTACCGGAGCACCGGGTACCATTCTGGAGCAGTACTCCAGAGTGCCCGCCCACGCTCCTTACCTGTCCTTTAAAGCCTTCTGCCTTTCGCACACATGCATGGTGCCTACAGCATCTGCACGATGCTCCATCGAGCAGCTGGAGCATTGCGGAGGCATTGCTGGAAGGTAAGACGTATGCGTGTGCACCGCACACATTCATGTGGAGGACGCTGGGCCCTGTTGCAACCGTACTGGTTGCGGCGGGATCCGGAACCCACCACTGCTTACACTGTATGTTTTTGGTTTGGTCACATTAACTTATGTGAAGATCATACAACTGTGTAATATAGGAAAATTTAAATTTCTTATTTACCAACAAGCAATTTAAAGCTTTATATCTTTATTAATTTTTGCAAAGATGCCAGGGAATCTATTAATTTTGTGTTGCTTTTATCGTTTCATAGTCATTTCTCTGTATATCTTTAAAGAACAACCGTTGACTTACCTGAGCGGTCCTTCTATGTGCGCTGCGAAGACAATCCAAGCATGGGTTAACTTTGTCCATTAGCTTACGTAATTGTTGACCACGCCTCCTTTGACTGGGATAGTTCAGTTTTGTACGAAGGCTCAGCCGATCCAAGAGAAGCAAATGAATCAGCAGACAAGAAAATAAGTAGGTAACACAATGAGTGTGTGTGAGACGAAGACAGTGCCAGTGCCCGGACCAGCCGAAGCCAAGGGCGGGTTTGGATTCCCCTCGCAGCGCACATAGAAGGACCGTTCAGGTAAGTCAACGGTCGTTTTCCTGTGCACTGCTTGGGGAATCCAAGCATGGAACATGCCAAAGCAATGAGTTTCAGGGGTGGGATGCAGGCTGGTCAGGGGCTGTGGATGATGCTACAATCCTCTGTAAGACGCGTCGTCAAAGGAAGCCTCCGCCGAGGCATACATGTCCACTTTGTAATGACGGATGAAGGGCAACGGTGATGACCAGGTCGTTGCCCTACATATGCCCTCCACCGAGGCCTGCGTTGCCCATGCTGCCATGGTGGCCACACTCCTGGTGGAATGAGGAGTGATGCGCCTGGGTGCCGATCGAGATTGGGATTCGTATGCGAGGGCAATACATGCTTTCAACCAGCATCCAATTGTGTTTGAGGACACCTTCTGTCCCATGGATGCCGGCTGGAAAGACATGAAGAGTGTCTCTGATCTGAATGACACCGTGGGCCTCACTTAGCAACGGAGCACCCTGCGAAAATTGAGATGGTGCCACTTCCATTCCTGAGGGTGTGACGGATTGGGGCAAAAGTCTGGAAGGATGAGTTCTTGCACCCTGTGGAACAAGGAGTTAACTTTTGGCAGGAATGCCTGGTCCAATCACAATATGACTCTGTCTTGCTGGAATATACAGAGATCCTCCCATACTGAAAGTGCCGCCAGTTCCGAGACTCTTCTAGCGGATGTAATTGTCACTAAAAAGATGGTTTTGGGGGTCAACAATCTAAGACTGATGGTACAAATGGGCTCGAAAGGCTCAGCTGTGAGAGCTCTAATTACTGGGGTAAATCCCATGTAGGGTAACGGTGGACTACTGTTGGTTTAAGGTTAGATGCGCCCTTTAAGAAGGACCGTACCCTCCGATGGCGAGTGAGGGAATGACCCTGAGCACCTCCCACCACCATCGATAATGCCGCAATCTTGTCTATGTAAGGTGCTGGGCGTTAGCCCTTTGTCCAAACCCGATTGTAAAAAGTTTAGAACCCGTGGGATGGAAGACTTAAAAGGGTCTCCGGATACTGTCCGGCATCGCCTGCAAAAGGCCTGCCAGGTGGCTTCATAAATTCGTGTCGTGGATGAACAACGAGCAGCTTGGATCGTGGCGATGACCTTGTTAGAGAAGTGCTGACGCATCAGGATCGCCTGCTCACCTGCCACACAGCTAATTGTAACAGCTGAGGGTTCGGGTGGATGAGAACTCCTTGCAAGAGCATTATCCGGGCGTCTGGTATTCTCCACGGTTGGGAAATTGAAAGATGGACCAGGCATACCAAGGGTGTCTGGGCCACATTGGTGCGACCAGGAGAAGTTGCGCCTGCTCCAGCAGAATATTCTGGATGACCAGCAGTACGAGTGGGAGAGGTGGGAAGGCGTATAAAAAACCTTCTGGCCAGGGGCTGCAAAGGGCATCGATGCCTTCCGCTTCCGGAACATAATATCTGGTGAAGAACCTCGACAGGTGTGCAATGTGCGGTTGAGCAAAGAGGTCCACCTGGGGCCGGCCGAAGCGGTGAGCCAGTTCCTGGAATAGAGTCAGATGGAATTGCCACTCTGTCTGGTCTACTGTGGTTCTGCTCAGCCAATCCGCCTGTACATTGGCTGTGCCCGGAAATGTGCTCTGCCCGAAGTGATAACAGGTGAGTCTCCGCCCAATGGTGAAAGCATTCTGCTTCCAGCATCAAGGCCCGGAACCTGGTGCCTCCCTGGCGGTTGACATGCACCTTGGAAGCTACATTGTCCATGAGAACCAACACGTGGTTGGTCGACACCAGGTCTCGAAAGTCGCAGAGAGCTAGGCTGATCGCTCGAAGCTCTAGCCAGTTGATGCTGTTCCGCAATTCCTGGGCGCTCCAGCGACCCTGCGTCACCCGGCCCAAGGCATGGGCTCCCCATCCGAATAGACTCGTGTCTATTGTTACTACAACGTGGTCCAGCTCCTTGAAAAGATCCTTGAGGATCTTTGAAGAAGTCCACCAGCGGAGCGAACGCAGCACATTGGAAGGCAAACGGACCTTGGTCTGTGAGTGGCTGATGTGAGCCCACTAAAATGGGAGCAAAAACCACTGGAGAGGACGTGCGTGAAACCTTGAGCACGGAACAACGTCTATGCACGAGATCATCTTCCCCAGCAGTTGGGAGAGGACCGCGAGTGGGAAGAGAACTCTGCGTTTGCACCTGACTCACCAGGGTCTTCGGCGCCTTTCCTGGGAAAGCGACGCCATGCACCGTTCGGAGTCGATGACGGTTCTGAGATGGAGGAGGGACGTGGTTGGGTGCAAGTGGCTCTTTGGAAAATTCAAAATGAAGCCGTGGAGTTGCAATGCTTTGATTGTGGTCTGCAAATCCTGTCTTGCCTTATCTGGGGAACACGATAGGATCAAGATATCATCTAGATAATAGTTGACCCTTATCGGAATTGACTGGAGGGATGGCAGGGTGCGGTATTGGAAATGGTGCCCCGCAAACTGGAATCACAAGAACCTTCAATGTGACAGATGTATCAACATGTGGAGGTATGCCTCCTTTATGTCCACAGAGCCGGATACAGGCCAGAATGCTCTTGAGCGACTGCATTTTGAACCTCTGGTAACTCAGGTAGAGATTGAGCCGTTTCAAGTCTAGGATGGCCTGCCATTCTCTCGAGCTTTTGGGAACCAAGAAGAGGATAGAGTAGAACCCTAGCCTTTCCTGTCCCTGAGATAATCTTTCTATAGCGTTTATGGAAATCAGATGGTCGATTTCAGATTCCATCAGGCGTCTCTTTACCTGGCACCTTGGTATGTGACACCTGATCAGGGGAATAGCGAGAAATTCCAGAGTGAGGCCCAGCCTCATGGTCCAAGGTGGTTCCTGCCAATGGAGAGGTGAACTAAATGAGACGCCTGCCACCTCATGTGAGTCACCGGTACCTGCAAAAGGACCAGTTACTGTTCCCACGAAATGGCCGCCGGGCCTGCTGTTGTTGGCCCTGTTGGCAGCCCCTGTCCCTAGTACCAGGGCGGTCCTGACTTCTGTTCTGTGTCTGGGTGAACGGCCTGGAGTAGGGAGGAATGTATGGGGCAGTGTTGTACCCGGAGTCCCTGGCCCGAAAAGACTCCATTCTGTGATATGGCGAAATAAGCTGGAGAAGGCTGGTGTATCTTGCACCGGACCATCATCATCCAACAATTCTAGGGCAGCTATGTCCTCCTCCTCACCCAAGATAGAGCCTTCACTGTAGGCTGAAGGTGGAGGTGAAGGAGGACCAACCTGAGAAATAGAAGGATCTCTGGCAATGCTGAGAGAAACAGTGCACTGGGCCCTGTGCTGCAACTCCGCATCCACCCTTTGGGAAATGGTTGCAGAAATCATGCTATGAAGTTCTGGGGGCAAATCAAATTCTGGCCCATCTCGGGCCCAGAGTCCTGCAGCCGTGGGTGTGAACGTGGCTGCGGGATCTGAATGCGGGGATGTTTGACTCGTGGTCAGGCCAGGTCTGGGGTAGATCGGGGCCCCAAATCCCCTTCGTCTGCACCCCTCCCCAGTGGTGTGGGAAGACGGGGGACCAGCCCTGGATTCCTGCTGGAGGAATAGAGGGAAGAGGGGAGTGGTGCTTGGCCACTAATGTAGGAGGGGACCTAATGGTAGGCCCAGGAGCCGAGGTTGATGACTTGGCCTTCTCCTTGCGCTTGGCAGCTCCATCCAAGGCTGCAGATGATTTATGTTTAGAGGCCCTAGTGGTGGCCCTACCCACCCTGGTGCTGGGCCCAGCGGTCTCAGAGTGCAGCGGGAAAGAGCTGGGAGATCCATCGCTGCCTCCAGAGACTGAATGATTGGCCATAATAAATCACGGGGGAGCAGGAGAGATTTGAAAGGCTCAAGCTCAATTCTGAAACCAGGGCAAACCTCTGAAAATTGGCAAGCTGACTTGTTATGGTGCTAAGTAATGGCGGCGAACCAACCTCTTCAGCACTATGACTCACTCCATCCTCAATCACAGTTGAGCGCAGAAGGCAAGCTCCACCACTTCCTACTTGATTTGGCGGAAAGGCACTAACAGCTCAATTAGCCAGCGCCAGCACTTGCGTCGACGCAAAATTCAAAAGTGTGTCGAAAATGACCGTTGTCTTACCTGAACGGTCCTTCTATGGGTGCTGCGAAGGGAATCCAATCATGGGTTAACTTAGCCCTCTAGCCTTGAGACTGAGTTATGCAAATTTCAAAGCCACGCCTCCTCTGACTGGATTTCCGTTTCCCTCCAGTTCTCGTACGAAGTCCGCCAAAGAAGCAATTAT